TAGAAAGCATAGTCTACATTTTTAAAGTTCATGTTAAAATGATAACATTGACGGATTTAGGAAGTCATAAAAGGAGGTGTAACTGAAGAAAAAAAATATTAAGTATATAGAGCTGCTAAATGATTGCTACTCTAGTTTTTTTCTTTCAAATAATTCCCATTCATATTTGTTTTTTTTGTTTTGTTTTTTTATTTATCAATGAATATCATGAGAATATTTTTATTCTTATGTTAGTTTTGAGCTTTAAAAAGATTGTTACCCTGATAATACCATTATTGCCTCGGATTCTTTTGTCTTCCGAGGGATTTTTACAAGCGAACATCACTAAGTAATCCTTTGATTCCGAGTACGGACAACTAAAAGTCCCTACAGCTGTCTTCTTTTTACTTCTGCAATGAACGCTCTCGTTATCGTCTCAGTCACACTGAAATGTGGGATGATTTTTGGGCCAAATTGACTGAGTACCTTTGGTTCCGAGTCTCTACTTCGTACCGCTGAGCATGTGCACTTGACGAATTTCAATGTTTGATAATAGTTGATAGGCTTCTTGSCATTATACTTGCAAATATAAAAACAACTTTTCGGGGTTGAAGTTAAGGTTAGTTAACTTCAGCATTGAATAGAATTGATCAGCAATTGTTAAGATCGTTGTTGGAAATAGTAACAATGGTCGGATTACCAATATCATTTGTACTGTTGTTCTGCGAAAACCTTTTGAAGGGGAACATAGCAAATTAGAAGCTTCTTTTGGCTATCGTTTTGAGTGCTTATGATTGGATAAGATTTCATCTTGAAGTAATGGATCTAGTTTTAAACTAAGATATTCAGTCCTTTACGCATACAAAAACCCGCAGTTTATTGAGTTTATTTTTTCTCAATAAACTGCGTGTTTTTGTGTGCGTAAAGGACTGAGTATCGTAGTTTAAAACTAGATCCATTACTTCAAGATGAAATTTTCTAATTCCTTTATTGTCAGAGCTATCAGTATTTCTAAAAAGATTGGATAAGAGGTTGTAATACAAAAGAAACTTTGTTTCAAAATAGAGTTTATCCACATTTTATTTCAAAAATGTTTTAACCATAGGTTGATATATAATCAGTGTGAAAACCAAGACATTCATATGTGGGGAAGTTGCAATGCCGCAGAACAATAGAGTTCCTTAGTTCTTAAGCGCATTGTTACTTTATCCCTAATCTCCCTCAGAGCCATGCTATTACTTATAATAACCCCCCTTGAATAATATTCGCCCTTGGCAAATTTGTCAACACTGACACCTGCCATGCTACTTACTGCTAAGAAAAAGGAAGTCTATTATACAATATTTTCTCAGAATCCTTGCCTGGAGAAGCCTTGTCGCAATGACGGCCAATGCCTATTCCAAAACGATATTCAAGACTATCGTTGCACGTGCAAAAAAGGGTTCACTGGAAACCAATGCCAAGTCAACTTAACCAGTGTCAACTTAACCAGTGTCAACTTAACCGGTGTCAACATAACCGGTGTCAACATAACCGGTGTCAACATAACCGGTGTCAACATGACCGGTGTCAACATGACCGGTGTCAACATAACCGGTGTCAACATAACTGGTGTCAACATAACCGGTGTCAACATAACCGGTGTCAACATAACCGGTGCCAACTTAACCGGTGTCAACTTTACTGTTGTCAACTTTACCGGTAGGTCGGTTAAGCTTCATTACCATTTAATTAAAATTAATTAAATTAATTTAAAAAAGTATTTTTTTTTTCTTTTAGTCGATCACTGCGCACTTATTTTTTGAGACAGCCTAATTACTCTAATTAATATTTTGCGGAATTAATGTATTTCTCCAAAATTTACCTTTTTCCGAAAGTTTCTCTATTATTCTATGGAAAAAGCACTTGTGCAACTCATTAAAAAATTTATTATCGAACAGCAGGAACAAAGACGGAAGTTTCACAGTTTCACAGGCAATTCATTGCAAATGTGTATTAAATTTGCATTAATTTACCTCTCTAAGATCCAAATTGGTACAAAATGTTGTTGTTTTGAGCCATAGGTCAAGAGAAACAGCTAAGCAAGCAAAAGCCAGACAGGGAAATTGGTAAGAATATATACTAACAATCCGTGCTGACTATACAAATTAGGAAGCACCTATTGAATTGTGGAGGATGTGGGTTTTTTTCGCCTTGCATTTAGATTTAGCAAAAACGGATAAAACAACGAAGAGTAGTTATTAAGTTTGAGATAAACAATCTGCAAAAATAAAAGCACTACTTATAACAAAATCATTTTCCATTTTTTTCCAAAAAAATGTTTTAATACTTGAGAACACCGATTACATCAAATACAAAAAAGCATGCGCAGTACAAGTTGCAAAATCCATTACGATCTGACAGATCTGACGATCTGACAAATTGTAAAATAATTAACATGATTATGGTTCTGAATTAAACCGAAATATTGTTGAACAACGTCTCGTTTATAATCCAAATTTTGGATTTTACGATGTTATCCTTCCTCGGACTCGTTTTTTGTCATTCTGTACAAGTTGCAAGTCGCAGTGGTTTGCGGTGATATTATAATC